CTTTGGAAAAGTTACCTCATGCTCTGCACCTCTGTTTACCCTCTGGTAAAATAACTGTTGCGAACGGCACCAGCTCCAAGACCCTCCAACATGAAAGAGGAAAGAACGGGCTGAGAGACGAGAGGAGGTGAGCAGCTGGAACACGGGTCATGACGCTAGGGTACTTTGTGCGAGGAAACTGTCCACGCCCGACAAATTCCAGGGAAGGAGGAGCAGAAATGTGGCCACCACTTTACTTTCCTACCACAGATTTCCAGGGCTCCTTTCCCAGAAAACCAAAGCAAACAGACATTAAGTGGCAGGGCGGAAGTGAGGAAAGATTCCCAGGCATGCACAGCGCCCCGTGTCCTTCCTGCCAGCCGCCCCCGCCTCAGCTGTCACACCGGCCCCACACAGTGTCACTGGTGGGGTCCCTGCTCCCTCGGACGCTGCACCTGCCTCCGGAGCTCGCCATCCTGGCACCACTGTGGCCAGCATCGACCATGTCAGCTCTGCTGCACCAGGCGCTGCAAACCGCTCGTCAAGGCCTGGCCAGCAGACGCCGTACTTCAGGCCTCGCGGCTGCGGGTCTAGCCCATACTCCACTCTGCCATTGCACAGAACACCGAGGGGTACGCGTGGATGTCGCAACAAACCTACACACAGCGACGCGGCGGCCTGGTGTGGCCTGCCAACGCCTCCCTAGGTCACTGCAACAGTTCACAAACCGCTTAGACCACGCGCACAACTCCCTGGCACCATCCACCCTCCCATCATCTGCCTCCGATCTCCCTCACCAACACCTCCACCATCGTTCGTCCCCTGGCATCTCGGGGACCGATGCCCACCTGCTCTAACCTGCTCCAGCATGTGTGACGCGCTGCTCCCCTACCAACACCTGGGAGCCCCTCACAGCCTCAGGCACCAGCGTGTGCATACTTTGCCTAGGGTCCAGGTCACTGGTTCCTCTGCCTGTACCTGCCCGACGGGACGTGGCCCTGCTCCACTGTGGAACCTGTTTTTCCTAGATGACTCAAGAGCACCATGGTACTCAGCGTTCTCTGTGTCCATCCCAATGTACCAAGCTCAGGAACTTTCCAGGCGTCACCTCGGACACCTGGCCGTCTGCTGGGATCTCCACTCCATGCTGGGGCGGTGCTTCCCCCGGCCAGCTCCGCCATGTGCTCCTCCTCTGTCTGGCTCCACTGAACCCACACTCTCCTGGATTTGCTCTTCCTCATCCTCCCAAGCAGCCCTTTAGCAAGTCCTCCACCCACACCTTCTCCAGGCAGGCTGCCAAGCCCCTGGGCCCTGCTCTGACCCCCTATGCTCTACCTGGGACTAGCCAGGGAGCTAGTCCTAAATGGGGCACAGTCACTCTTCTGCCAAAACCCTTCCAGGAGGTGGGCGCAGCTCTGCACAGCCCTGCCTAGTGTGCAGATGTCGGGGTTGAATCCCAGCAAAAACATGAACCACCCTTCCCAGGTACTCTGATAAAGCTCAGCGCCTCCCCAAGCCCCCAGGGCTCTGAAGCCCCGTGTGGGCCCCTCTTCTGCCCACGCAGCACTCCTGGCTGCAGGTTTCCAAAGCGCTGCCACAGCCACGGCCCTCTGCACAGAGAGCACGCACACACTCACGTGGCTGTCCACTCAGAGTGCACAGCTCCCGCACCCCACGGTCACCCGCGCACCCCGCCCCACCCGCCCCTGCTTGGCCCACTCTCTGGCAGCACGTGTCTTGAGTAGTTTCTGGTGCCCGGCTGCCGCAAGCTGGGCAGACCTGGAGACCTCGCTGACGCTGCTCACACGGAGCCCCCTGGCAGTCACAGCAGGGCCCAGGGTCTGAGGGAAGCAGGCCCACGGCCATGTGGCCGGCACACCTGAGCGCCCACGATGGCATCATGTCCCTTCCAGCGTTTCCATCACACGTGTGCCCCCAGTGAGACTCAATAACAAGTAAACACTCTATTTTTAGTGAATTTCCAAAGTAACAGAACCAGCAACACTCTGCACACCTTCCACCTCCTCGACTCCAGAGTGCAGGCAGAACAGAGGGGCAGTGTGCGCGGCGGGGCGGCGCAGGCTTTTTCCATGAGCTGTCCTCCGCCCGCGAGGACCCTTTCCACTCCCTCAGAGACCTGCGCGAACTGCAGCCCCTTCCTGTTGTTTTCCTTGGGGCGCCCCACCCCCTGCCCGCAGGCTCGGGTTTTGTGGGCCTGGTGGGGCCTGAGGATGTGCATCACTGGAGGGTCGTTTGTGCCAGTGCCCCACGACACACCTGTGAGCCAGCCCTCCCTCGGCTCCTCCAACAGCGCCGACACCGACCCAGAGGGCCACCTTGTGGACGCCAGGAGACAAAGCACCCAGTGTCCGGCCAGGAGCTGCGCTTCCCGGTCAGCGGGAGCGCTTGGGTCTGTGCGTCCGGGGAAGTGGGCTCTCTCAGCCTCGGTGCTGCAGGAGTCCTCAGCAGGGCCTATCTGAACTTCAAGCTGTACTGGAAACACAACCTGCCCGTTTCTGCTCTGTGCTCGTGTCACAAGCAGCACAACTGCCTTCTGTGACACCCCAGAAGGGGGTTTCCCTCCATGCAAGCATGCGGTTCAGTAGTGCACACCGGCTGGAGTCAAGCCCGACTCAGCTCTGACACTGCTGCCTGCAGCCAGCACCAGTCCGACAGAACAGACGTGTTTCCATACAGGTACACCACGCTGAGAGGTTGTGTGTGTGTGTGTGTGTGCACGCGTGTGTAAAACACAAATGCAAACTCAGTTTCTCCTATACACTCACAACACACTTCTGACACCAGGCATACGGGAGTTTTCCTCATACGCCAGCAAACAACCCTGCAGGGAATGTCAGCTACATACTCTAGTCCAACTCAACACCTCACAGGTGCCCCCAGTTTACATGCCAGGTGGTACAGCGCAGGCTGCCTCACCTGGGAGTCTGACCTCACCTCAGCTGGTTATTAAGCGGGGTTCCCTCGACCCCTCCTCAGGATGGATGGACTTGCTTCCCTGGGCACAGGGTCTGGGGCAGGGGACCTTGCTCAGTTCCTGGTCTCTCATCAGGACAGTACCAGGCTGCAGATGAGGAGGTGCACAGGGCAGGTATGGGGAGGCTGGGCTTCCTGCCCTCCCTGGGCCCCGCCCTCCCCGTGTGCAGATCCCAGGAGTCCCTGAGCCCTGGCCTTGGGTTTTTGGAGGCTTCGTGACGCAGGCAGAACTGACTCAGTCGCTGGGCTCTGGAGATCGGCTGGACTCTCAGCCCCTCTGCCCTCCTGGAGGCCGGGCGGGATGAGGAGTCTCAACCCTGGGACCCTGCTTTGGTCTTTCCATGTCAGCCCATGCTGAAGCCACTCAGGGCTGCTGGGCAGTGGTGGGCTCATCAGCACCCCAAAGACCTGTGTCCCCAGAGCCCAGGACTTTAGTTGTTTGTCAATACACAGGAGAAAGACCAAATATGTGTTTGACCACATAACATCAGCCTATGTAGGAAAGAAGGCAAGGAGAGACTGGGGAGGAGGAAGGAGAAGGAAATACACACACGTCTGGAAGAACAGGCTCTGTTCCCGAAAACTTTAAAATCCCATCTGTGGGCTGGATTGCGGATGAGCCTCTCCACCTCACCTTTTCTGTACACTCCCATTTCCTACCATGGCCTAGCTCGCAATAAAGAACTGCAAACTGCAACCACAGGAGTTACAGTGAGGCCACCGGGAAGGGCCACAGCATGGCGGTCACACAGCCCCCTGACCAGCACTCTCCTCTGGTCCCTGCCCCCTGCTCAGGCCACACCTACTCTTCTTGGAGCTTGGACTCTCCTAGGACTTTCCCATCCTCCTCATTCTCCCTTTCCTGATCTTCTGTTCCCGTAACAAAGACCAGGCGCTGGGCCTGCAGATACCCAGTGGGTGACTGAGAACAGGCCGAAGCTTGGCATCTGCCTTCCCTTTGTACCCGTCTCCCTCACGACCTCAGCAGTCTGTGTCAGCTCTGTGCTCAGCTCTGTCCACAGGCAGGGCAGTCACCTAAGAAGTGTCTGTCTAAAATCACGTCACCTAAGGTTTATTACCCCTGGTGCACCCAGTTTATCCGGTCTTCCTTCAAGACTAAGAAGCCAGGCATGGTGTGCATGCCTGTAACGCCAGCACTTGAAAGGCTGAGGCAGGAGGATCAAAGCAAGTCTGAGGAGGATCAAAGCAAGTGAGGCCTTGTTTCAAACAAAACAAGACTGAGGACACCAAGAGCGCCTAAAGTAATTCTGGACGGGTAGGGACGTTCAATCGCCAGTTTTTACAACGTCCAGTCCAGATCCCCTGGAGTGAGATTCAGAGTCCTAAACCTAAGCCACCTGAGACTTCAGGAGAAGCAGGGTTGCAGATCACCCCAAGATGAGGTCAGCTCCAATCCCTAACTGGAAGCAGTTACTCCATGACAGGCACTGAGGCTGCCCCAAGCAGGAGCCCTGAGCCCGTGACAAGCCAAACTGCTACCCCAAGTAAAATGATGGGGCTCCCAGGACCAGTGCAGAGATAACCATCGATCGGACGACACTGGATGGACGACCTTCAAGCTACATAAGCCCAAGCCTTGTCTTTGTTCCCCTGGAACCCCAAAATTTGTTTCAGCCTCTGGAAGGCAGACTGGGAGCTGCTCTGCGCTCCCCAGCGCGGCCGCACTGGAGGCCTCTTGCCTGCCCTCCGTCCGCTGCTGTCCCTGACTGGTGTTTGGGCCGGGGCTGAGCCGCTCTGGGGGCCCCTGGGCGCGGGGCTTCGCGCCGACACTGCAGTCGTTCTTCCTGGGTAAGCAGCACATGCTGGGACAGGGCTCCCGCAAACTATCACCCCAGGCCCTCCCTGGGGGACCGCACCGAGCCCGGGGCCCCGACCACCCCCCGGCGCCGCCAGCTCCTCCGACCGCTGTCCCTTGGGCTCGGGAAGGCCAAGGCTCGTGCCCATTACTGCGTCAGCTCTGGCGCGCAGGTTCTCCCGAGGCGCGAGGGGCCAGCGCTCCCGCTCACCTGGGGCCGGAGGCGCGGCCGCGGGCCCTGAACGCAGCCTCCTGACAGCCCGACGCCCCGGACACCCCGAGCCCGGCCGGTCCGGCGCGACGTGCGCGCTCAGGCAGCCGCTCCTGCGCCTGCGCAGACACTGGCGGTGCACCGG